GTGGCTTAAAAGCCATTCTGCATGGTATTTTTACTGGGTACTGGAATATAGCTTAAGTGATAACCTTTTTTGTTCAATTTCTGTAGTTTATTGGTGATTTGATTTTATGCAGGGGGTGTGGAAACCAGAACTTTGCCTGGAGAACAGAATGCAACCAGTGTAAGGCCCCAAAGCCTGAAGGTTTTCTCCCACCACCCTTTCCACCCCCAGGTAAATACAGGTTTTCTGAGGACCCCTCAGCTTCATAGTACTAAACTTCTTTAACTTGGTGGGCTTGGTAATTTGCTGCTACACTCTGCTGAGAACCAGATGAGTGATTTTGGTAAGTGCCTCCCTGGCATTGGGCATACTTCAGGTTATAATTGTGTCCCCACATGTAAATTACGGCTCATATGTTTGGATCAAGTGAAGAAGTATTTGTAACTTTTACTCTCAGAAAAGCGAGAGCGCTTTTCTTCTGAGCTCCCTTTGAGGCATGTCCACAGAGCCTTTACATCTATCTGCTGTCTCATCACTGATCTCCTGTCCTTTTCCTTACCTTAGGTGGTGACCGTGGCAGAGGTGGCCCTGGGGGCATGCGAGGAGGAAGAGGTGGCCTCATGGACCGTGGTGGTCCTGGTGGAATGTTCAGAGGTGGTCGTGGGGGAGACAGAGGTGGCTTCCGTGGCGGCCGGGGCATGGACCGAGGTGGCTTTGGTGGAGGAAGACGAGGTGGCCCTGGGGGGCCCCCTGGACCTTTGATGGAACAGATGGGAGGAAGAAGAGGCGGGCGTGGAGGACCTGGAAAAATGGATAAGTATGTGATGGTGAAAAGCAGAATGGGCTACTGTCCAGCTCATGCTAGGAGAAGGCAGGACAGGACGCTCAGCCCAGGGTTTGGGATTAACCAGGAAGGGGGACTCTGGAGGGGCTGTCTTTCCCCCATTTTAACCTAGTGGCTTCCTTTCCCATTTGCCTTGCAGAGGGGAACACCGTCAGGAACGCAGAGACCGGCCCTACTAGATGCAGAGACCCCCTCGCAGAGCTGCATTGACTACCAGATTTATTTTTTAAACCAGAAAATGTTTTAAATTTATAATTCCATATTTATAATGTTGGCCACAACATTATGATTATTCCTTGTCTGTACTTTAGTATTTTTCACCATTTGTGAAGAAACATTAAAACAAGTTAAATGGTAGTGTGCTGAGTTTTTTTTTTTCCCTTCTTTTAAAGATGGCTGTTTAACTAAGACTAAACAATGGGAACCCCTTGTGAGCATGCTCAGTATCATTGTGGAGAACCAAGAGGGCCTCTAACTGTAACAATGTTCATGGTTGTGATGTGTTTCTTTTCTTTCTTTCTTTTTTTTTTTAAATAAAATTCCAAATGTTTATAAACAGTCATCCTTCTCGGCCTCTGTTCCGCAGTTCTCTTGTCTGCTTGGAGTGTGTATTGACGCACGTGATACCACCATAGCATGAAAACAAAGTTGTGACAGTAGTGTTGGTCATGGTGTTGCTGGCAAGAAAGGGGCATAAAGATAAGTATACTTTCTTAGGTTCAGTTCTATACATTGAGATTTTAATCACTTTCGCTCTGGTTCTAACCTGCCCACCTGGCTAGCTGTGATTTAAAGGTCCCTGTGACTTCAGTTATCCTGCTCTGCCTTGTCCTTTACAGTTGAAGTCACTTGGGCCTAAACTGTTCTTCCAAAAAGCCAGGCATGTCCCCCTCACCCCTAACAACCAGGGTGCACTCTGAGACCTGTGCTTACCCACATCATCACTGGGTTGCTGGTTAGTCCAGCCAGTGCCAGCACTGTGACCTGCCAGTGAGTGCTTTGCATGAAGGCCATGGCCAGACTGGCAGTTGCAGCTAAGGCTAAGCAGGCCACTACCTAGCACCCAACAGTGGGGCAAGAAACCTAGCCATTTACCCACTGGTCAGGGACTAGACAGCCTGTGGGAGCTGTGTGCAGATCTCAAGTCTGAGGGTGAACCCAGAAACCATAACCCCCCAGTCCAGCAGTTGCTATGATCCCACAATGCACATTAGAGGTTATCACACAACAGGGTCAAAAGTTAAGGCTGTCCATGACCTGGGCTGGGAATCAGTCCTCATGGTAGGCATCATACCTGCCATGAAACCTAGATTCACAAGTTGGTATCTGGTTTGGTATGGGTTTTCCTGTCACAGGCCACCCTGAGGACCGGAAAGAGGAACAGGATCCCTATCGTCCATCCACATCATAGTGGACATGCGCCCACATCCCCAGGCTGCACTGAGCGAATGGCATCGTCTACAACTGGTGTAACTACAGTTGCCCCTTAATGTGGATTTGAACAGTACTCAGTTTCCTGTAGGCAGGTTCTACATTCACAGATTCAAACAGATCAGGACAGGGCATGAGTTTCTAAAGCCAGTCCTCTGAGGATACCAAGGAAAATGAGAATTTCAAATCTTTCAACTGTCAGGGATCTGGCACACAGTGGTTCTGCTCAGCAAAGATCCCTGATCTTGAATGGAGCCTTCCCATAACAGTCATTCAAATTCCAGCTCTACCACCAACCTGATGACTGCAGTTTGGACTTGCTAAGAGGTTGCCTCAGGTGACTCCACTTCCTCAGATCACTCACATCCCTAAAGTGCATTGTCCAAGGATTAGCTGTGCTTACATTGTTCTGCTTTACAAATGGTAGGTAACAGGCTTAGGAAGTTGAACCATCTTGCCTAGGTTGAATCTGACTCCTGTGTTCAGAGCTCTGTAGTGCAAAAGAGCAGGTAAAAGCACGAGTCAGATTCCTGTACAGTTGCTGACTGAATAGCTCTCTTACCTCTCAGCCTTGGTTTCCCCAAATTGTAAAGCAAGAACACATAAAAGATTTTAGGATTAAATTTCTTAATATCCATACCAATACAGTAATCCATTCCCAAACCTGTGAGCTCTGCCCCACCAATCTCCCCTGGTGTCAGTCTAGACTCTGTCCTCACAGTCACCTGATTCCACAGAACCCAATATCCTCATCACCCCCACTGCTGTACCTCTGGATCAGACATCAGTCACCAGGAATCTGAAGACCTAAGGTCACATCCCACTATGGCTCCTGCATCCCTCAAGAGGCGTGGCCCACAAAGTCTACTCAAGCTGTCCCAATGTCCATAGTGTCATCCAACCTACCTCCATCTTCCTCCACTCTATGGGCCGCCTCTTTTTTTTTTTTTTTTTAATAGATTTATGTATGCATACAAGAACTGGGGTACAGGCCAGAGACAGTGGGGAACAGAGCAGGTGGAATAACTAGATTAACTGCAGAGGAGGGAAGCGAACAGAAGAGGTCTGCTGTGCCATGTGGGTCACCTCCCTGGCTGGGATCGAACTCATGCTGCAGTGGCTGCAGCTTCACAGTGCTGCACTTAACCCATTGCGCCACCAGGGAGGGCCCATCTCATTCTTGAAGACACCAGTTACATGCCCACCTCAGGGTCTTTGTACTAGCTTTTCCCTCTGACCGACACCCTTCCCCAGAACCACACCACCTTTCCTCACATCCTTTCCTGGTCACATATTCAAAATTGCAGTCCCACTCCAGACCCCTCCTTTATACTTCCCCTCAACAACCACCCCCCAACATTCCCTCTCTTATCCCAGCACTTTATTCCTGTTTCAGGCCAGGTGCAGCCTCCCCATCAGACTGAACCCTGAAAGCTGATTCTGTTTTACTCCCTGCTCTATGTTCTTGGTTTCCAGTGCCCCAAAAGACTCAGCACACAGGTTCCAAAAAGTAAATCATTCCAATCTCTAATTATTAGCTTTCCTCTGCAGTGAGGGGAAAAGCTGGAGCAGGACCTGTGTCACCTGGGTATCCAGGACACTGGGGCGAGAGCCCACCCTTTGAAAGATCCTGAGGAAACATGACGCCTGTGAGCAGCCTGTCACAGGGAAGTTTGGCACAAGTAGGTCTGCCCCACAAAGATCCATGACCCTGGAATCATTCAAATCCCAGCTCTACCAGCTGTGCTCCTGACAGAATGCCCGTTTGGGCTTTACTAGTGTCCCTTATAGAAGTGACTCATCAGTTCCTTCAGATCCAGGTCACAGGGCAGCCTGTTTAAGAGCTCCATTAAAGCTCTGAGCCCTAGGCTATTGTTTGGCAGTCCTCCCCCACCCCCAGCAAGCCAGTCATCCAGCAAGCCTGGCTTCCCAGTGCTGCCCAGCCAGCAGCTGCCCAGTGGCAGGATTTCCCTCCCAGCCTGCTCAGCTCCCTCCTTTGCAATTTGAAAACAAAGGGGGTGTGAACACGCCCACTCCCGGTCCAGCCCATGCTGGTTATGTCTCACCCTCTATTCTGGATCCCACAGGGCACCAGAAGTGGTCTGGACCTGCCCTCTCTCCCCCCTGCAGGGCAGAGGCCCCAAGGGCTGACTAGAGACTTAGCAAACTGTCTGCCCCATTGAGGCTCATCTGAGTAATGGGTTCTTTCCCTTAACTTCAGGGTCAAAAATGAATCTTCAGTGAGAGCCAGAGGCTGAGTCTGCCTAACAAGGGCCACCGCCCCCCTCCCCTGAGGCCTCAATGCTGGGAGAAACTGCCCAGCTACTCTCATTTATCTGTCCCAGGAAAGGGCCACACACCAGCCGGAGGTGACTAGGCAGCCCCTGACTCTATCACTTCCTGAGTACAAGTTGGGCACAGGCCATGCGCCCCCACGCCCACCCGCACCCCAACGGCAATTACTGGGGAAGGGCCCAACACTCCCACCACCACCGCAGCCACCGTCAGTCCAGGAAACCACGGGGTGGAAGGGGCCTGGGGAAGAACCTGGGCGGGGAGGCCTTGCAACTCCGCAGACTGGCGACCGACCGGCTCCCCGCCCAGGCCGCCCGCCCTGGGCCGGCCGCCTCCAGCTCCTCCTCTGCCAGCCAGGGGCAGCGGCCCCTTTAAGAGCCCTTGGCCCCGCCCGTCCCTCCGGCGGATCCGAATTCCAGGGAGGCGGGGCAGAGACGCGGGCGGGCGGGCGCAGAGGCGGCGGGACGGGATCCGCTGTGACTCGGGCGGCGCCTCCCTTCGGCGGCCCGGCCCGGCTCCGGCCTCCGCCGGGGCGATGCTCCCCGAGGCCGCGGGATGAGCCAGGTGAGCCCTGGGACCCCTAGCACCCCCTGACCGGCGCACACTAAAGGGGACCGGGCGGCAGCGGGCCGCGGCCTCCGTTCCCAGGGCTGTGTGACCTTGGGCTGCCCACACCCTCTCTGAACCCAGATCCGGAGGCCAGCCTGGGCCGGCCGAGGCCGCTCTGCGTTCCTTCCCTCCCCACTAGCCTCGGCCTGGACTGCTAGGGAGGCTTCTCGGAGGAGGCGGGGCCTGGCCCTGCCCGCGGAGCCGGCCGTGTGGCGCCCATTGCTCGGCGACGCCGCGTGAGCGCCGCACCTGGCGGCGCCTCAGTCTCCTGATCTGTAAAATGGAAACCTCACTGCACCCTCAGCCCCAGACACGGCCGTTATGTCGTTGTTACAATGACAGCAGGGAGAGGGCCGAGAGAGGACCCGGGAACTGCAGGAGGAGGTGCGGTCTGCACGGCTCTGAGCAGTGGCGCCAACCCCCCCACCCCGGTCCCAAACCCCACTTGCTCTGCAGTGAACTGAGAGTCCACAGCTCTCAGGGGCTCAGCTCCTTACCTATCTCGCAGGGCGAAAAGGGTGGGGGCCTCCCTCCTGCAAGATTCCCTCAAAAGAGCCAAACAGCGAACATCTCTGACTCTAAGTCATTTACAAAAGCCCCTGTTGAGTCCTGTGAGAAAGGTAAAGTGTCCCCATTTCACAGACGTTGGCCGAGCTACAGGGGCCCCTCACATGGCCTGAGGTGATGGGCAGGGGCCCCTCACATGGCCTGAGGTGAAGGGCAGGTGCAGGTGGTCAGCGACCTGAGTGCCCGCTTGCTTCTCAGGCAGCCCTGACCGGTGCTCCTCCCACAGTGACTCCGCCGGCCTGGGCATGGCGGACCCGGTGGCAGGCATCGCAGGCTCGGCGGCCAAGAGTGTGCGGCCCTTCCGTTCAAGTGAGGCCTACGTGGAGGCCATGAAGGAGGACCTGGCCGAGTGGCTCAATGCCTTGTATGGCCTCGGCCTGCCCAGCGGTGGGGATGGCTTCCTGACAGGGCTGGCCACAGGCACCACCCTGTGCCAACATGCCAACGCCGTCACTGAGGCTGCCCAGGCCCTGGCTGCTGCCCGGCCGGCCCGAGGGGTGGCCTTCCAGGCACACAGCGTGGTTCCTGGCTCCTTCATGGCCCGCGACAACGTGGCCACCTTTATCGGCTGGTGCCGGGCAGAGCTGGGGGTGCCCGAAGTCCTCATGTTCGAGACCGAGGACCTGGTGCTGCGAAAGAACGAGAAGAGCGTGGTGCTGTGCCTGCTGGAGGTGGCGCGGCGCGGGGCCCGCCTGGGCCTGCTTGCCCCCCGACTCGTGCAGTTTGAGCAGGAGATTGAACGGGAGCTCCGCGCTGCACCCTCGGCCTCCCAGTCCCCCACTGCTGGGGAGGACGCCACTGAGACTGCCACTGCACCCGGGGCACCCAGCCGTGGGCCCCGCATGACGCCCAGCGACCTCCGTAACCTGGATGAACTGGTGAGTCCCCAGCGGGGGGCCCTGTGCACCGGGAATGGGACAGCGGAGCTGGTGCCCCAAACCCATCTGTGAACCTCTTGGGGCCTACCCAGGTGTCCGCAGACAGCCTGACCCCTAGAAAGGGTGCATGACTTGAGCACCATGACTTGAGCATTGGGCCTTAAGGACACAAGTCAGCCAGAGCTGGGCGATGCTGGCTGAGGTCATGCAGCACAACTGGCCTAGGGTAAAACCGGGGCTCCACTGCATGATCGCCCCCTTTTTGTGCATAATCCAGATGTGACGGATTCCTTCATCCAGGGGGCTGCATGATTTGAGCCCCTCTTCTAGGGGCTCAGACGGCTGCATCCCCATCACAGAGTTCAGGCTGAGTGGGCACCCGTGATGCTTGGTTCTGCACACAGCGCCAGTCTCCCAGAGGGCCCGGAGCTCCCCGGGCCCTGCGCACATTACTTATCTGGGAGGCTGAGCCCAGAGCCGCTGCTGTGGGCCTGGGAAGCCCTGCGGAGCCGCGCTATCAGCTCTACTCCGAGCAGGGGAGCTGCTGGATGGGCCTCCTCTCCGGGGACCTAGGGTCCCTGCCGCCCCCGCAGACAGTTTCCTTCTTATCAGAGGTTAGGACTATGCTGTGCCCATCCTGGAGGGGGTAGCCAGAGGCTGTGGGCAGAGGCTGCCAACCCCCAGCCACCCGGGCCAGGGTCACTCGAGGCTCCACCTGCTCATTTTCCCTGCCGCGGCTGTGGGGGAGGAGTGGGTGGAGCTGCCCACTTAGCCAGCCTGGCAGCTTCCGGCCTGCTGAATGTGTTGGCAGATGTGTGCGCTCAGGGCAGGTGGCCTGTGCGTGCATGTTGAGCCCTCGTGTCTGTGGCCCTCCCACCTGGGTGCAACCCTGCCCCTGTACTCATGCCCTGTGACCTGCTCCCTGGGGCTCTTGGCCTTATCTCTGAAGTGGGTGAAGGGGATGAGGGCAAGCGCCAGGGCTCCTTCAGGCCCAGGGCTGCTGGATGAACTTCATGGGGGTCCCAGCCCCTGGCCTGCCTCAGCCCCACCGCCCTATCCCCCGATAGCCAAAGGGGAAGGAAAGCTGGTGAAAGGTCAAGTGTGGAGGCCGTACCCAAGTCTGGAGCAACCAGCCCATGCCCTGTTCCCAGAAGTCACTTCCCTCCTGGCGCAGTTGCTACTATCAGGCCCCAGAGGAGGGACTTGACCCTGACCTCCGGCCTCTCTGTTCCCAGGTGAGGGAGATCTTAGGCCACTGCACCTGCCCAGACCAGTTTCCCATGATCAAGGTCTCGGAGGGGAAATACCGTGTGGGAGACTCCAGCCTGCTCATCTTCGTGCGGGTAAGAGCCAGGGCTGCCCCGCAGGCAGGCAGCAGCCCGGGCGGTGGGGCTGTGCGCCCGCAGACCTGGCGGTGACCTGTTCCGCCGGCAGGTGCTGAGGAGCCATGTGATGGTGCGTGTGGGTGGCGGCTGGGACACCCTGGAGCACTACCTGGACAAGCACGACCCTTGCCGCTGCTCCTCCACAGGTCAGTGCCCGTGGGGGTGGGGCCGGCAGGGGGCGCCCTCCGTGGCTTCCTCCTCACAGGCCACCTGTCCTCTCTCCCCACAGCCCACCGCCCTGCCCAGCAGAGGGCCCGCACCTTCTCCCCACAGAGGGTGTCGCCCACCCCCAGCCCCCGACCTGGTAGCCCTGTCCCAGGGGGCGAGCGTCGGGGCTCCCGACCTGAGCTGACAGCCGTTAGCTCACGCAGCTCAAAGGATGGGCCTGACACACCATTCAGGTGAGCAGCAGGGGGACATGGGGTCCACAGACAGGGATGGGGGCGTCCGCCCTGGCGGGGATGATAAAGGAGCCAGCGCTCCAGAGTGACTCACACCCTGGGAAAAGTTCCCGTGGGTGGGGGCGGGCCTGGCTTCCATCTCCATGGCAACGCAGCCAAACCAACAATACAGCCTGGGCGGGGCTCTGGGGCTGGGCGAAGGCCAGCCCTACCCAGCTTCCTTCTGCCCTGCCCAGGGGAAGCCAGAGGCCTGGTGAGGGGAGCTTAGGGCCTGGTGAGGGGAGCTTAGGGCCTGGTGAGGGGAGCTTAGGGCCTGGTGAGGGGAGCTTAGGGCCTTGGAGGCCTCGCTTCTTCCTCTGCCTTGGAGTAGGGGTGGCCTGGCTGCAGGAAGCTGCTGCAGAATCTCTCACTTCTCCCTGGAAGTCCCCAGGAAGGCTGAAGCCCACGACAGCGCCCCAACCACCCCACCACCACCACAGGTGTCTTCCACCCCCGCTAACCACACCGCCGCCTGCTTGTTGGTTCCTCTCCCTGCCTTCGCGGCAGGCCCATCCTCTTTCCGTGATTCCCATCTCTCTCTCTCTTGTTCCCCTACCCCAGGCCCCGGGACCAGCTGCCCCCCCACCCCCGCTCCCGCCGATACTCCGGGGACAGCGACTCCTCAGCTTCCTCCGCCCAGAGTGGCCCCCTCGGTACCCGCAGCGATGACCTAGGCACTGTCCCTCAGAGAGAACGGCCCAGCCGGCGGCTAACCACAGGCACCCCAGTCTCCCCGAGAAGGCCCCCAGCCCCACGCAGCCAGTCCCGAGACCGCCTGGATCGGGGGCGGCCCCGTGGGGCCCCAGGAGGCAGGGGAGCCCGGCTTTCAGCCCCCAGCCCTGCTCGGCGTGCCCGCAGCCAGAGCCGTGAGGAGCAGGCTGTGCTGCTGGTTCGAAGAGACCGAGACGGGCAGCACTCATGGGTAGCACGGGGCAGGGGGGGCTCGGGCAGGAGCAGCCCCCACACACCCCGTTCCCACAGTCCCGCAGCCCTCCGGCCTCCCCAGGGCTCCAGCCCCAGTCCAGAGCTGGGCACCACACCGGCCAGCGTCTTCCGCACCCCCCTGCAGCTTGACCCGCAGCAGGAGCAGCAGCTGTTCCAGCGCCTCGAGGAGGAGTTTCTGGCCAATGCCCGAGCCCTAGAGGCTGCAGGGGGCGGGGCCCCCACTGGACCAGCCCCTGACCCGGCCCGGGCGCCAGACCCTCCAGCTCCTGACTCAGCCTACTGCTCCTCTAGCTCCTCCTCTTCATCCCTCTGCGTCCTGGGTGGCAAGTGTGGCCAACCTGGGGACTCTTGTCGGATGGCCAATGGGCTTCCTGGGCCCCGAGGCCCAGCCCTGTCCAGCTCTTCCGATGAAGGCAGCCCCGGTCCTGGTGCAGGAGGCCCACCAGACGCACCTGGGAACTTCCTTGCTGGCCTGGAGCCCCCGAGGACCTGGGCACGGGGCCGGATGGACACACAACCAGACCGAAAACCCTCACGCATTCCCACACCTCGGGGGCCCCGACGCCCATCTGTACCCATGGAGCCTGGGGCCTGGCATGCCTTGCACTCTGTTACCCCAAGGAGCCAACCGGATTCCTGGATGTGAAGGACCAGTTCCACTGCCCCCAGGACCCCCCATTCCTTTTCCTTCTCCTTTGTGGCCTTAACCCCTCTGCATCAGGGAACTGCCCCCCACCCCCCACCCCAGCCTCTTGGGGACCAGGCCTCATGGGACTAGAACCCTTGGGGCCACATGGCACAATGGGACCTCTGTTGTACATTCCGGTTGGGGGATAAACGTTGCTATTTAATTACTAATATTATTGAATGCCTTAGAGGAGGTGGGGCCAGCCCAGTGAGAACCCCTCCTGTGGGCCTGTGGCCCTGCAGAGCCTGACAGTAAAGTTTGTTCTAGTCACTGTGTCTGCTCCTTGGGGACTCAGTCTTGGGGCCATCACACTCTTTGGGGCACCCCTACTACATAATAGGTTAACTGCCAGGGGACAATACCTGGCAGCTCTCACAGCTGCCCATTCCAGGAATGTGAGATGCACATGAATTGTTTCCCCTTTTATTACCTCCTGGGAGGTGTGACTTAGGGGTTTGCCCCGCGAAGCTCCGGGAGTCATTTGAGACCCTCCAATCAGATTCCTGGCCAAGTCCCTTCCACGCCACGTGTGTTGACCCAGTGAGGTCCCTGAAAGAACTGATCTTGTCCAGTGGGGCTGAGGGCCTGGTTGGGCCCAGTGAGGTTCCAACAAAGGCCTGTAGCCATGGCTGGGAGCTTTCCTCATTCACTCAGGGAGGAGACTGTCCTGTCCAATCCGAGAAGTTGGGCAATCTTGTCCAATCCGGGTCTCGGCTTATTGCAGTAAAAGCTCCACAAACCTCCCTCCCCCTTGGGCAGCAGCGTCCAATGGGGTCACATGAGGCTGCAGCGCGCCGGATGCAGAGCCCCCTGCAGGCGCAGGGCCGGGTGTGCAGGGCGCGCGCGCACCAGAGCGCAGCGGAGCAGCTCTCGGAACAGGCGAAGCACGTGCCAATTGTACTTGGCGGAGCACTCGAGGTAGCCGCAGCGCCAGCCCCTGCGCACCAGGGCGGCCAGGGCGCGCCGAGGTCCAAAGCGCAGCCGCTGTCGGTCCCTCTTGTTGCCCACCACGAGGATGGGCGCCTCGGGCGCGCCTGCCGGCCTGGGGGCCAGAGAGGGTCGAGGAACGCCATGGCGGAGGCTCCAACACAGAGAATCCCCCGAATAGGTATATACACAGAATACCCCTAATAGGCATATACACCCGGGAGCCCCCCGTCCCGTGGCAAGAGACCCCACCACCACCACCAAGCAAACACTAGACTCCTGTGGCCCAAAGGCCATATACAGCTGTAAACTCACCACGCACTACGGCAAGACCAGACAGGCCCAGAGAAACACCCCCCCACGCCCCTCGGGCAAAGGCCGGCGGACGGCAGAGACGCTGGCTTCTCCCCACCTCCCGGCCGCCCCCCTACCTGTTCTCCGCTATGCGCTGCCGCAGCGCCTTCACGTAGTCGAAACTGTCGGGGCTGCAGATGTCGTACACCAGCACGAAGGCGTCCGTGTCCTGCAAGCTCCAGTCCTTAGGGTCTGTGCACTCCTGAGGGCGGGAAGCCGAGTTTGCTGGAGTCCACTTGCTAGCTGTGGCGCCGACAGCTGCGGGGCCGTCGCGGCCACAGTTGCCCTCGTCCTGGGGCGTGCCCCTCCGCACCTGTGCGCCCTCTTCTCCGAGCGTTGCGCCCTCGTGGCCAGCAGGGTAAAAATGACCAAACTGCCTGAAGCCACACCAGCCCTCTTGCGCTCTCGGGCTCCACTCCTCCCGTCCCTACCTTCCTCTCGTCCTCCTTCCAGCTTTCCGTGGAAAGCTCAACTGGGCTCAGGCCCCTCCCCGCCCCGGACGCCCGTTCGCGACCACCTGTAAGACTGTAAGAATTAGTAAGACTAATCTAGGCGCCCCCGCCCCCGCCCCCGCCCCCGAGGGTCTGCAGCTGTGCCGGACCAGGCGCCGGCTCGGCTCGTGCGGTGCTTCCACCTGGAAAGCGCTCGCCCGGCCTTTAAATTGAAAACCTGACTCATCCTGCCAGGTTAGGTTACATGCCACCCCCTCCAGGAAGCCCTGCTAAATCCTGTCTTTGCTCTCATCTCCCAGGGGCAGTCAGCTCCGGGGACTCGAAGTCTTTCCCGAACTTTGCAAATTATTAAAGTGATCCTTTTGTCCCAGGGCACGGGGATGTGAAAGTATCCCCTCGTGTCGGGCCCCAATCTCTGCCTCTCTGCTCAAGGTGTGTCAGAACCGCTCACCCTCAGGAAGCAGGCGAATATAGAGGTACACACTTCGGTGAGAAAAAAGAGCGGTTTGCCTTATCACCCGTCTCGGGCCTGGTCTTGGGCGCCTCCGGGCCAGCAAGAGGCGATAAGTCACACACCAGGACACACATTCATCCTCCAGTCCGTGAACAGCCGGCACGGGGGCGTTTGCGGACATGCACGTGTGCACACGCCTCCTCCCCGCCCCCCCCCACACGGCCACACGCCCCTGCCCGCCCAGAACCGCCGCTACCTCCAGACCCCCAGGGCTGGGCCCGCTGCCAGCACCGTCGCCGTCGCGAATGCTCAGGTCGTACACTGCGCCGTCGAGTAGCACCGCGGGCCGGTAGAGGCGCGGCCCATCCGTGGGCCGGTGGCGCTCCGGGTAGTCACCGAACAGGAACTGGCGGATGATGGCCGTCTTGCCCACGCCCGGGGCGCCCAACACGGCCACCCGCAGGCTGCCCCCCATGACCCGCGCGCCCGGCGTCGGGAAGCCTCATGGGCCGGCGCC